AAAAAAAAAAAAAAAAAAAAAAAAAAAAAAAAAAAGAAGCGAGAGCAGAAAACCAGAGTCGTTGGTATCCGCGGATCATCATGAGTTCGAGGCCAGCTTGAGCCACGTAGTGTGCTCGAGGCCAGCCTGGACAACACCGCGAGACCTTGTCTCAAAAACCAAACCAAACATTTTATGGAGAAATCTTCCCATTGGAGAAAAACTTTTATTCTTTTAATGACGCCAGGTATACATGACTTCCGGTTTATGCTTCGATGACCTGGCCAAACATAAATTAGACCTGCTCCCCTGCTTTGGGAAACTGGGGACCTAACCTGCAGAGGTTCTGGCAACAACAGCCCCTTCACTCGACACCCAAGTTAATCCAGGAGCCCTCACAGTAGTGCGTAGACATAGGCAAGGACTAAGTCTCACTTAGCCGGAGCGCAAGAGGCCGCCGGGCAGGGCAGCAAGAGGCACACATCAAGGCCAGGGCTCCTGGCAAAAGGGGCCCGCTGTTTGCCAAGGAGCCCGGCCCGGGGGGCAGTCAGTGCCAAACCCGCGGCAGCTCCGCCAGGAAACCAGCAAAAAAAAAAAAGAGCCCACGTGCAGAGGTGAAGAGATAACGTGCCAGGTAGAGGTTTGAGGTGTTTGCTTGCTGAGATGGAAATTTCAGAATTTCAGTTTAATTTGAGATGAGGAATTCTGTGTGCGCGTGTGTGTGCGCGCTGCTGGGGCTGAACCCAGGGCTGCCATACTGAGCTACATCGCCAAGTCTTTTTTAATTTTTTCTTTTGAGACACGGTCTAAATAAGTTGCTAAATTGCCCAAGCTGGGCTTCAATTTATAATCCTCCTGCCTCAGCCTCCCGAGTGCTGGGATTATAGGCATGCATCATCATGCCTGGTGCAAATTTTTTACAAAACAACTGAAAGAGATATTCTATGTAACTGGGTTTTTTTAATCTTTTTTTTTTTTTTTTGGTACCAGGAATAGAACTCAGAACCTCATGCTTGCCAGGCAGGCACTGTGCCACTGAGCTATAGATTCTCAAAAACAACAGCCTGGGGCCGGGGCTATAGCTCCAAAACAAAACCAAACATGTACTAGCTGCTATCATTGTCGTTAGAAACATTTGCAGATAAATATGTTAGTAGTACAGCATTTGCGAAGCATGCACGAGGCCCTGGATTCAATTGCCACCCCAAAATAAATCATAAAAATCAGAAAAGAGCATTGCCTTTTTCCTTGGTGTAAACTGGGAAGGAAAAACATCCAGAGATGCTGGCATGGCTGCACAAAACTGTAATTCTAGCACTCAGGAAGCCAAGGTAGGAGGACCACCATGAGTTCATGTCCAGCTTGGGCTACATAGTGACTTTAAGCTGAGCCTGAACAACACAGCAAGATCTTGCCTCAAAAAATGAAACAGTGGCCGGGGATGTAGCTGAGTGGTATAAGCGCTTGCCTGGCAAGCCTGAGGTCATGAGTTTGATTCCCAGTACCAAAAAAAAAAAAAAAAGAAAGAAAGAAAGAGAGAGAGAGAGAGAAGGGAAAGAAAGCCAGAGAAAGAAAGTTTTGCATAGAACACTACATTATGTCTTTATATAGGGGCCAGAGCTATAGCTCAGCGGCACAAGCACCTGCCTGGCTTGCATGTAAGGTCCTGAGTTCGAATCCCAGTACCAAAAAAAAAAAAAGAATGTCTTTATATCATGTTTGTTGATCAGCCATACAGTTACAGTAGTATAATACTTAGTATGGTATAATACATTTACATTCTTTTTTTTTTTTTTTTTTTTTTCGCATTTAAATGTGTTTGCTCTCCAGGAGAATCATTGGAAATGTATTCAAGATTAGTATTGACTTTTTTTTTTTTTTTTTGGTCTTTTTGAGACAGGGTCTTGCTATGCAGTTCAGGCTGGCCTTGAGCTCACTTCATAGCCCAAGCTGGTCTTGAACTTGCAGCGATCCACCTGACACAGCCTCCAGAGTTCTGGAATTACAGGCATGCACCACCACGCCTGGTTCTTCCTTTTTTTTTTTGAGACAGGGTCTCACTTTGTACTTCAGGAGGGCCTGAATCCCAGCAATCTTCTTGCCTCAGCCTCCACAGTGCTGGGATTATAGACATGGCCACCACACCCGGCTTATATTTATATTAAATTTACCAGCTGTACTACTAACACAATGAATCTTCTATGTAGCACGATATTTACCTGCAAATATTTCTAACGACAATAATAACAGCTAGTACATCTTTGGTTTTGTTTTTTTCTTTTTTTTTTGTCTTTTTGAGACAGGGTCTCACTATGCAGTTCAGGCTGGCCTTGAGCTCACTATGCAGCCCAGGCTGGCCTCGAACTCACGGTGATCCTCCTACATTAGCCTCCCGAATGCTGGGACTATAGGTGTGCACTACCATGCCTGGCTTGGTTTTGTTTCTTTGAAATGGGGTCACACTGTTACCCAGGCACCTGCCTCAGCCTCTTGAGTAGCTGGGATGACAGATGTGCACTCGCTGGGTAAAGTATATTGATTGAGCACCTTCTAAATGCCAGGCATTACCAAATGCTTTATATCATGGCATGAAATCTTTGCATCAATCATCTTTTCTCAGCTTGTTATTACAATACTACATTATTATTACCATATCGTTACTGGTGAGCACACTGAAGTCGTGAGTAAGGTTCCCAAAGCCGTACAGGCATCTTCACACTAGCTAATAATCCAACGGCAGGGTACTGGGGATGGAATCCAGGATCTCAACTCATGCTAGACAGGGATCCACTACTGAGCTACATCTCCAGCCCTAGTCAGGAATTGCAGAGCACTTCCCATAGCTCTGATGCCATTCTAAGCACTAAGTGTGGAGATTTATTTAATTCTCAAAAGAACGAGTTAGGTATGCTCATAATGCCCATTATTTATCTCTCCCCCCACCCCTCGCCCCACTTGTTTTTGAGCCAGGGTCTTGTTAACTTGCCCAGGTAGGAGTTCACCTTGGGATCCTTCTGCCTCAGCCTCGTAATGTATTTTTGCCGGGGGTGGGAGGTGTCTTTTTGAGACATGGTCTCGCTATGCAGTTCCAGCTGGCCTAGACCTCACTTTGTATAGCCTAGGCTGGTCTCAAACTCGCAAGTATCCTCCTACCTCAGCCTCACAAATGCTGGGATTACAGCCCCGCACCACCACACCTAGCATCAAGCACTGCTTTTTTTTTTTTTTTTCTGGCCTTTTTGAGACAGGGTCTCGCTATGCAGTTCAGGCTGGCCTTGAGCTCACTTTGTAGCCCAGGCTGGTCTCAAACTCGCAAGTATCCTCCTGCCTCAGCCTTCCAAGTGCTGCGATTACAGGCGTGTGCCACCACGCCCGGCCACTCCTTTTTTTTTAAATAGTTAAAACTCACTTCTCTTCTCTACCTCTTGACTTCCTAACTCAGTCTCTCTATGGGAAGGCACTTTGGAAATACTCTTCAAACAATGCGCGCTGGAATGTATCCTGCCAGCACTTTGCAAATACTCTTCAAACAATGTGCCCTGGAATGCATCCTGCCACGTGTGGCCAGGGCCACCTGCAAGCTCATGTGATTACTGCCTTACTTGCCCACCAACTGGTGATTGTAAGGACAGGGACCATCTATGGGGCTCCCTGGGCTTCCCTGGCTCCTAGCCTGGGGTCCGGCAGCCAGGGACCATCTGTCTGCACCTGCTGCCGAAGAACAGGAGGTAAGACCGCAGCACACAAGCTTAGAAAGGAAGGGTTTGTGCTTGCCTCTATGACGCAGATCTGGGGCTCTTCCGAGTTCCCATCCACTGGCACCTTGGACTGATTCATAACCCACTCTTGGATGGCGTCAGTGATGTGGGGGACAACTGCAGAAAGAAGGCACACACTGAAGCGCACTCATGCCCACCAGTGAGAAAAGTACCACCCAAGTACCTCCCAAACCACCCAAGTAACCCGCAAATTAGATCCCCTCCAGGGCCTCCATGACCACCTTGCTCCGTGACAATAGCATGCCCTAATGCAATTTAGTGCAAGACGCTTAATATTGGGCCTTTGCACTGGACCCTTACCAGTCACAGATCAAGAAACAAAACAGCTGGGCGTGGTTACGCACAATTGTGATCCCAGGACCCAGGAGGCTAAGGCAGGAGGATGGCTGCAAGTTCGAGGCCAGCCCAGGCTACACAGTGAATCCAAGTCCATCCTGAACTACATAGTGAGACTGTGTCTCAAAAACAAAACAAAAAGAAACAATGCCGAGGCCAGGGATTTAGCTCAGTGGTGCAGTGCCTGCCAGGCAAGCGTGAGGTCCTGAGTTCAATGCCTGATACCAAAAACAAAAGAAACAATAGAAAATAAAATATGCAGAAAAAAATATATTTAAAAAAAAAAAAAAACATACGCATACTACACAAATGCCATCGTTATCGTTGCTGAAACCAAAACCAGAAAATGCCTATCTCGACAACTAAGAAGCACGTAAGGACGGCGGCCGAGTCAGCCGCGGAAGGAAGCGGCGGGCCCCAGCCAGCAGGGAGAGAATGGAGGTACGACCTGTGCTGGGTCCCCGGCCCGGACAGACAGGAGCAAGAAGCCGAAAGGGCAGTCTCCACTAGCACGCGAGCCCCAGGGCCCCTGAGGGGCACATGGGCCCAAAGCTCCTGATCTCAGCTAAAGAAACACAAAACAATAGGTCCTAGCCGCCAGATACAAAACCCTAATTTGACACAGGAAGTAAGACGCCTGCTTCCATGTGGCGCGAGGAGAAAGCGCCTCCCATTGGTGAATTGAGAACGCGGGTCCGGTCTACTGCGCAGGCGCACTCAGCCTCCGACCGAGCCGGTGGGGTGTGCAGGGCTCTTCTCCCACTCTGGCAGCTCAGTACTCAAGGCTGTTGCTCGGTCCCCATCACAGGAGCATGGCAGCTGTAAAGAGCAACTCTCCCTCCTGTGGGTCTCCCCAAAGCTGACACTCACGGGGGGGCGGGGGGGTGGCAGTTAACCCACAGCCTGTGCTACAAAGTGAGCTCAAGGCCAGCCTGAACTGCATGGCGCCCTGTCTCAAAAAGACAAAAATAAATAAATAAATAAATAAAAGTAAACAGAATGGAGTCATCCCACCCTGGGAACAGACTGGTGCCTGGACCCCCCCACCCCTCCCCAACGCTGTCACTTTTCAAAGACGAGTGGTCACCATCCATGCAAAGAAACAAGATATGGTGCATGCCTGTAACCCCAGCATTCGAGAGGCTGAGGCAGGACTGCCATAAATTCAAGGTCAGCAAGGGCTACACAGTGAGACCCTGTCTCAAAAAAAGAAAGAAAAAGAAAAGAAACAAGGTAAAGGGAGAAAACTGAACGAATTAAAACACAGGGGGGAGCCAGGCATGGTGGCCCATGCCTGTAATCCCAGCACTCTGGAGGCTGAGGCAGGAGGATCGTTACAAGTTCGAGACCAGCCTGGGCTACAAAGTGAACTCAAGGCCAGCCTGAGCTGCAGAGCGAGACCCTGTCTCAAAAAGACCATAAATAAATAAATAAATAAATAAATAAATAAATAAATAAATAAATAAATAAAAACACGAGGGGGACTGGGATATAGCTCAGTGGCACAAGCGCTTGCCTGGCAAGCGCAAGGTCCTAACTTCGATTCCCAGTACAAAAAAAAAAAGACTCTTGAAGCTGGAGGATCGTTGTGAGTTCAAGACCAGCTTGGGCTACAAAGCAAGCTCAAGGCCAGCCTGAACTGCAGAGCAAGAGACCCTGTTTCAAAAAGACAATAAATAAATAAATAAATAA